TGCATAACCGATCGGTTTTTCAACATTCTCGTTTTTAGTACAAAAAGACAAAAAAAACTTAAAATTGGGTCAAACAACCCCTAAGGTCCAATGAAAAAACCCAATCCCAGCCAAAAATAAACCCTCTTCGATTGATCTCTGATTCTCTTGTTCCTCTTCAAACCTAACCTAAGTCCAGCGACTCCAACCACCACCACCACCAGCGCCTCGCTACCGATGCCATTACTGCCGACGCCAGGTAGTCTCTTCCCTCTTCCTTCAGTCTTTCTTCTTCTTCTTCTCCTCTTTGGTGGCAGCGGTGATGCTGTTCACCGCCTTCTCCTAGTCTTCTTCCCTCTTTCCTTCTCATCCTCCTCCTCCTCCCACCGCCTAAATCTGATTTCTTTTTCTTTAAGTTTGAATATGATTTATGCAACATTTAGTCATTTATTTTTTTAATTCTTGAACTTGAAATTAATTAATTACTGATAGTTTTCTTACAGGTTTGATTTTTTCTTCAGACTTAGAATTTGATCTTTGCTTTAAGGCTTTTAGTCCACCAAATTGGACCAAGATACACCACTAGTTGTTCAGTCTTGCAAGTTAGCCTAAGCCCTCTTGAAATCTTAAAATAAAAATTTAAACTTGAATAAATTGATTTCATATTTTGAATTTAGGTGATATTGATATTTAAATAGTTGAAAATTCGAACTAAATTTAGAACACTGATAATGATAATGTGATGCTAAAATAGCTAAAAATTGAAAACAATTTTAGTTTATCATGTATGCATTATAATTTTTGAATTGATATTTCTTGAAATGCCTTTATTATGATGGTGATTATAATTAGTATTGAGCCTTGAACTTTATCGGATTGTTGATGTATTTGTCTTCATTGTGGGACACATTGTCTTTAACTTTGAAAATTTAAAGTATTTATTTCTATTTTGGATTAATTATCATACATATTCAGTAAACACAGTCCGACCTCCGGTTCAACCACGATCGAATCTCTAACCCGTCAACCTCTGCTTTTACCGGGTCGATACCCGATCCGGTTCTCTGAACATTGGAATCTTCCAATAAAAAGTTTCCTTGTAATGCAAGTAGCATCTTGATTGATTCACTTGCCGTTAACAAAGTCTGATGTGACTAGAAACGATGCTCTTACTGTCATAAAATTGGATATTCCAACTTGGCATAATCCAATATTTATTGGTTTGTGGGTTAGGGGTCTATTAATCAATCCAATTTCATTTTAAGCCAATTTCACTTGAGGAGAGTTTATTCTTTAAAAAATACAAAAACCTCCCCTAAATTTTCTGACAAACATAAAAATCTCCTTTATAGTTTTACTTTAACAAAAACCTCCCCTTTATTTTTAAAAAATTCAATAAATACCTTCCTTCTGTCAATGACAAATGAAAAACGTTTAAAAGATTTTTTTTTCAAAATACCTATTTTACCCTTTTACGAATTAATGTGAATTTGTTTTTATTAAAATAGCCCTACACTCCCCCTCCAACCTTCCCTCTTTTTTAATTTCCCTTTGATTCTATCAATCTCTCTCACTGTCCCCAACGTTGCGGCTTCTACTTCTCTACTCCTCGTCCTGGTTGTAACAACCATACCGGTGTGGTTGTCCCCAGAGAACACCGTCACCGACACTGTAACTGGTGGCGAGCTTGTAGTAGACATGATAGCCCTTCCCTCTGCGTACGGATTAGAGCCTACCCCAATTGTTACCGCCCATCAGTTCCTCTTCTCATGTGCCCCAATTCCCCTCTTGCTCATCTAGGGGTGGTGTCAAGGGAATGGTGGGCTTCAGTCGCAACCGAATTGGGTTACTGTCGCAGCTTGCAACAACGCTTAATTTCAATCGGAAGTTCGCTATCTGTTTGCCATCGTCAACCTCATAGGATGAAGTTGTTTTCTTTGAAAATGGGCCTCATACGGTGGTTCCAGGCATTGACCTATCGGAGACACTTCAGTTGGAGAAGAATCTTGTACAGTTGGATGTGGGTGCTTCGAGACTGGGGTTCAATTTTTCACTCTTGACCCAACAAACGACATGCTCTGACTTCAACCTCCATCCAATTCGTAGAGGCTCCTCAATTTTCGTCTCTCTCTCTCTGATTTATTAGGATTTGTATTAACATTGCTGCACTATTTTTTTGGACAAACTATGTGAATTTTAATTTACAGACGTTTGAATGAAATTTTACTTTTTCCATCAAAGGAGATGGATGGGTTCGACAATTCAAAGGCACATTCCCAAATAACAATATTACACCAAAATATCTAGGAAATTAAATTTTAATCGGATATTCAAACCTGAACTAGAAATTGCGAAAAAGGTAATTGGAAAACTCACTCCATTTTGCTTGCAATAGTCAACATCCGTCCAGCAGTCCTCCCCTTTGACGACATCAGCAGGCCAGTACCGACTTGGTATGGTGGCGGAGATCGATGATGTTACCACCACCCGTCTCACCCCACACTCCTTCATCGCTTTTAGCACAGTAATCGTCCCTTTGATCGCCAGATCCAAAAGCTCTCTTAATTAATTAAATAAAATTAATTTTCATTTGTTTTGCCTCAGAACCTCTGAGAGGGACCTCAGGGTCTTCGACTTTATCCACAATGCAGGGGAAGCAAGGTGGAATACGTTGACGGTTCCATTAATCGTGGCCACAAGAGAATCGTAGTCGAGGAATAATCGATGTGCCATTATCTTCTGAACTCAATAGCAGTCAGCCAGGTAGAACCAAATTGGTCGAGCAAGACAGTGTTTGAGCAGCATCGTGAGGAAGAAGATGAACAGTGTTCAGGCAAATTATGGAGTTGCTGAGACGGGGTTATTTTAATTCATAAAAAGGTAAAATATGTATTTTGAAAAAAAATTGTCATCTTTTTAACGTTTTTTGTCTTGATCATTGATGGAAGGGAGGTATTTATTGAATTTTTAAAAAATAGAGGGGAGGTTTTTGCTAAAATAAAACTATAAAGGAGGTTTTATGATTATCAGAAACTTCAAGAGAGGTTTTTGTATTTTACCCTATACAAAATAATAAATCAATCAATTCGGCCACTTGAGCGCTTATCAAGATGTCTGTTAATTACACACAAGGTGGATTAAAAGGAATAGAATAGAACAGAAATACCACGTTTACTTTAATAGCAAATAAGAGAGAAACAATGGAAAAAAAAGCTATGAATGGATTTCCTAATTTTTCAGCCGTGTTCGTTTATGACCCAGAAAGCAAATGGGTGAAACATGGATAGGGCTTATCAAATTTATATCAAAAGGTTTATTTCTAGGAAAATAAATTAGGGAACATAATTACAACCATGATTTTTAAAATTGAACCAGTCAGGGGTCCAGTTATCGGTTCGAACGGTCTGATCATTCGACCCAAATAACTGATTCGTTTTGACAAAAAAAAATAAAAAAATTGAAAAACAGTCAAAACTGTTAGAATGATTAATCGGCCGTTCAGTGATTTATTGACTAAAATCAACGATTTTATAGAAAAAACGATTTTTGGGAAAAACGAAGCTGATCGGGTGACCCATGATGATAATGCTGATAATGCTGTGTAGCGTTTTTCTATAAAATTAATTCTTTGCCTAATTTTCCCTGTTTTTTATGTGTGAATCAACATACTGGTAGGGTAGGGGGAGGGGGACGAGAAGCAAAAACACCCGAGAAAAAAAAAGTAAAAAAAACTAATGAAAGAGGACTTGCTGAATCTTTACAAGATCTAAAAGGATGTAAAAGACATGCTGGAGAATTAGAAAAAAAAAATTTCACAACACTCCAGCAGACCTCTTTGAGGTGAACAGTATGCACCAAAACCAAAAAGGAGTTGGGCAACGCAGATGTCTGGGACTTAAAAAAATAGGAGACGAGAGAATGCTTTTTTTGTAGTTTTATGGCATGGGAGGATACATTGACTGACTGATTTAAGATTTCAAGGTTGTGCCAGACTACTCACTCACAAGTTGCAGCATTTGGTTGATGCCAATAAATTCATAAAGATTTGGGATTTGGTTTTTTGTGTGATTTAAAATTAGGATATCCATTAGAGCTCTGTCTGTTGAAATCCTAAAGTAGTAATCCGCGGAAGAACAAAGGCAGGTGAAAAAATAGAGGAATCCTAAAACGATCTCCTGTTTGTCTTCTTCTAAGGTAAAGAAATGGGCCCATTCAAAACGGTTAATTTGTGCTTTCAGATGAGATGCATGGAGAACGAACATCGATGAAATCTTCTTCTTTCTTTTTTTCTTTTTCAGATACTTCTGAGAGGCTCAGAACCCATTGTACATAACATGACTTTAGAGTGACTAGTCAATACCAAAGTGCAGAGTTGGGCAAGAACCCATTGTCCTGGGAGAGTGGAGGGGCCCTTGTATTGGAGGATTCTTTATTTGAAATTTTGAATCCTGAGAATTCGTAGAGAATATTTGGTGCTGCTTTCTATGGCCCGGCTATCATGCGACAACCATCGTACCTTGCGTAGAGAAACACTGTATATATTTGAACCCAATCCATAACTCTTTTTATTAATCACCCTCCTAGCCTCAAATAATTTCCTTATACTACCTAATACCTAGACATTTCATATATATTTTAGGTCTATTTTTTCCCTTTTGTTACGCAATTGCCTACAGGCTACAGCTATTATTCCATGTCTATTCCATCCTGTCCCTTTCCTCTCTCTTTATTTTTTCTGGTTCTGGTGTAATCTCGTTTTGGGCCTTTGGCTGCCATCAAAGCGCATATTTACACACATCTCACAAGTCACACCACAAAAGGTCACGTCGCTGGCATCCTTCCTCACCGTAAAAGCATCACGCTTTAATCATGACCACCACCACTACTCCCACCACCGCCTCTCAAGTCTAAAGTCTAACTGTCTCAGCACAGACTACAACCATCACCATTGCAGAGTCTCTCCTTTCTCTCACCCTATTTTATTAAAAAATTCAAATTATCAATCCAATAAAGAGGGAAAGGACTCAAGGAGAGAGAAATCATAAAACATACGAGCACAACTACACAAGGAGGATTGTCTAGATAACAGAGCTCAGACCTCAAAAATTTTGAAGTAAGCGGATTTCGAATGACAAACAACATAAAATTTAATTAAATTTGGATTAAAATAACTTAAAAATACAAAAGTGGGAATAAACACGAGAGAGACTTGTTATTGAGTTTCCCGTGGCACATCTGTAATCGAGAGCTCCTTTAACCATTCAAATGTGCGACGGTGAGACATGGCTTGCTTTCCCTCATCCTGCTGCTGTTGTTGTTGTTTCACGAGAGATGTTTCATGAAGATCACTTTCACTCACGTTTGAATTTCTTTTGTTACTTTTGATCTTAGTAACAAGTACCCTCGAAGAAACTGTTTCAACTGCACTAACTGAACACTTACAGCTACTCAATCCACTCTTGTCGAGAAAACTTTGTTTCTGCGTTGTTTTCTTCTCTATTTTGGCCTCATCAAGACTGCTTCTGCCACCACAGGTACCATTCCTGGTATTATGACTGCTACTGCTGTTACAACTCTTGTTTCTGTTCCGTCGCTTGAGGTCGTCCAACTCAATCTCCGGCGTCCGTACTACGCCCACTCGGAAAAGTCCCCATATCGTCGATCGCCTGTCCCGGTTACCTGCGTTCCCCGGTCGAGCAGTAGCACTCGAATACCACAACTGGGGTTTTGGACTAGGGTGGGTATGAAAATGGTTCTTCACTCTTGGCTTATATCCGGTGGCGTTGACGGAACTGCTACTCGACGAGTTATGGCTTCTGCAACTGCTGCTTCTGCTGCTTACGCTGGTAAAACCACAAGAAGAACTATGCTCTAAGGACTCTGACCTCGAACCGCAACGACTAAAATTTCGACTATCTTGACGGAATCCGGTCAACCCACTATCAGAGCTAACCGACAGTCGTAAAGGTAAAATCTGGCCCTGAAAGAACACGTCGTCGGCTGCACACATTTCTGATTCTGTCAAAAGAGAGGCACCCCATGAACCGAACTCGAAATCCTCTTCGGTTTCAAGAGCTTTAATTTCCTCACTTGAATGCTTTTCTCTCTTGATTTCCATAATCGGAAGATCAGAGAGCGACAAGGCTTCTGCTTCGTCCTGTTCTTCTTCTTCACGGGAATTGAAGGCCACCCACTTTACCTCGCTACCTCTATTCGCCATCTCCAGAGCTGGAATTCTTTCAGCAGAAACACCAGCCGTTTCCTGCGAACATGCAAAGATGGGAAGAAAGATTGAAGAAATGTATGGAGACTGAAATACTTGAATCCTTAGACAAATAAAATCTGGTAAAGCGGTCAAACTAAAAAATAAAAAAGAAAAACCTTTAACGAAACGAATAAATTAAGAGGAAAAAGTGAAGAATTGCAGTGCAAAGATGAGCCAAATTAACAAGCGAGAGAAGCCTAGAAGAAAGCAACTGTAATTGCCGGGGAGGGTATCTGCTATTAGCCTATTACCTTCCGAGTAACGACCACTCGGCACGCTTTCATATATTTGAATGCTTTGTGTTTTGGTTTGGTTAGTGGGAAGTTGGGATCGATGTTAATTAATTAATGTTCTTATTCTTTTGGGTAATGTGTGATGGCTTTGTTCGTATTGTCCCACTCACCACATATATATGTACTACAAAACAAAACGACCTCTATTTATTACCTAAGACACGCTTAGAGAGGAGTCGGTGAGCTTGATTCAACTGGATTTTTTTTGTCCTTTAATCTTTCTTAATCTGTGATTTTAATGTTGATTTATTAAAGTATGAATGTTTATCTGGTCATGGATGCCCTGTGAGGAATTTACCCAAAAACTTTAAAGAAAAAGTTGGCGTCGTAGGGTCTTTGGTTCATGGTCCTAATCGGAATGGTCTATGAACTATGCTCATAATCGGTTTGGTTCAGAAATGAATTGGAATTAGTTGGAATGAATTTCATTCTTAAAGAACGGGGAGAGAATGACAATTCCTTCAAATGTAAAAATGTTATTCCACCTCAAATGAAAATGGGATTTTAATTCCGTCCAACCAAACAATAGAAATTGAAATGACCCGTTCAAGGTTCTGATTCTAGACCTTTATTCCTAAAAACCAAATGGGCCCATTCTATTTGTAAATTGTAATATAATATACATAATTATAATATTTTAATAATATTCCAACATTTAAACTGAAAAAGATCTGCCGTGTCAGAAATGGGTCTGGAGCTCTGGCGTAGGGTCTATGCTCAGCCCCCACCTGAAAGCCCAGTCCAGACTATATCCAGGGCCAAGCCTATGTAAACCCCTTATCTTAAGCCCAGACCATGATCGTCCCTGGTTGAGTTGAGGATTTGTGCCTTGACACAAAATGTAGTCTAATATTTTCTGTGCGACGTGAAGATCCAAATTCCTCTTTTTTTCAAGCAATTCCAGTCAACAATGAATCTCACAGTATTGCTATATTACTATTACTATAATAATAATAATAAGAGTTTGACAGAAAGAAGAAAGAGGAACGACAGACGAGTAACTGTTTGATGGATCCCAGTCGTAGGGGTGAAAAGATTATAATGTTTGTCCTGCATTGGAGATATCAAATCCATCATCTTCTTTCAACGTAGGTTGGTTAGTTGCCAAAACACCCGACCCATATGCTTCCAAAATCTAACGTAGGAAGGAGATAATGCTTCTACTTCTTGGTTGGATCCATCCAAGGGAAAGTGCTGCTCCTGCCCCCACATCACCCTTCCAGAAACGAGACACGTCTACGTTTCTAATGCATGTGTGGCCCAAATTGGTCGGTCCTGGGCGTGAGTGTAGCTATATATATAGCTGAATATATATCCTAAAGTTTAAACGACTTTATTTTCCCTCAAGCAACAAGCATGCATGTGCAAGTGTAATGTAGTCCCAATCACCCAGTTTGGCTCCTATCAAGAATCGTAGAGGTTGGAATTCAGACTTCATATACGTGTTTTGGTTTGAACTTTGAAGCCGTCGTCTGCATACACTACATTCTCTAACTCCAGGCATTAGAATATTTAAATTCCCTGTTCTGTTCTGATCCAGCTTCATGCATGGCGTTTGAGATTTGAGAAGGAGAATGTGAAATTGTGAATGTCTTATGTTATGTGTCTGAAAAATGAATTGCTACCTACGTACAAGGCTACAAATATGAGCACTCGAGTCACGTGCTACGATTATGACTCTCCCCACTTCCCCACTCCCTAAGGCCTAATTAAGCCCAGTTTTCAATATAAACCTGTTGATGTGCTTCCTTAGGTTAGCTCATAGACTCATAGGTGGTGTCGTGGTGTTTTTTTTTTTTTTTTTTCCTGAAGTATAAAATATAGATGGATTTGGATAAACCCTATTAAGGGAGGGGTCTCACTTTAGACTTTACCCGTGAGCGAGATTCGCTCCTGCTGAAAATAAAGTTCTTTCATCCCATTTTCATCACTTGCAACGATATCACGCATGGACAACCAGGAAAAGCCATTTTCTGTGCATAGAAAGTGCTTTTGGTATATGGCCTTTTCTTTGTCTTTAATTTAAATCCTTTCTACTTTTTTGGAATATCTATATCTCTTATCCAAACACATTTTTTATTATAAATTAAGTTAGATTTATATAATGATAAATTAGACGCTATTCATAGGCCAAGCTCAGGCTTGGCTTTTGCTAAAATTTTAATAGGCCCGGTTTCAAACCTGAGTCCAAAACAGTGTAAAGTTGAATCGGAAACCTGACCTATGAACAAGTTTACAGAAAATAGATAAAAAAAAGAAGAAAAGATATAAAATAAATATGGTCTTCTTTTGAAATGCAAGAGCCCGAATGGGCACTACTGGAATTACAAACACAGGCTCTGGGACAAGAAGTGGGTAGAGGAATTGGTTGTACATTTAACTTTCTCACAAATTTGAAATTTTGCACACAAACAACTCACTTGCCTTTTATGCTATGTAAAAGCCCGTGCTCAGCAATGAATACCCATTTATTGGTATTAGCCTCTTCTTCAATTAGGATTAATGAGAAAATATCAAAGGCAACGACAATTGCTAAATCTTGAATGAATAATGTGTTGGTTATAATTGATCTGGGTTGGGTTCAGAAGGAATTGTCTGTTTGGAAGTTTGCCCCAAGATTCCTTTTGTGTTTTGGGTAGAGATGTTGCCGGTTAATCGGATATTCAAAATGGGATGTGTCAAAATCATCCCCACACTATACTGTCGGCCTTCATATACTTCGTTCAAAACATTACACCATTTATTCTCAAAAAAAAAGAAAATAAATAAAATAAAACAATACAACATTTATTATTATTATTTTTAAAGCCCGTAGGCAGCATACAGCATTTAAATGCCTCACTAATTATGTTTTTTTTTGGTAATGCCTCAGTAATTATGGTTCAGTACCATACTATATTATCATTCTTAATGTTTGATTGGATTCTTTTTTTTTTTTTTTAATTGTAGGATATTATTAATATTAGAGAATTACCTCACCTATAGGTTGAAGGGTTGGTTAAAATGATATCGGGGAGTATCAAATGGTCTTAATGATCGTTGCTCTTATTATAATTAATTAAATTGTAGTAGAAGGTACGAATCATGTGCAGTGATGTTAATAGATGAGGTTAAGTGGTAAATTTGTGTCGGGTCAGGGCTGGGTTAGGTTTATTTCAGCCTGTACTAAATCTTATCCGTTGACACAAGGATTAAAATTGTCATTGGGTGTATTGGCCGCTATGTATCGTGTTGGGGTCCTTCTGATATGTCCCTATACAAAAGATGTTTTGAGGTTCCACCTATTTCAGCGGGTAAACATTTTGACGGGTCTTAAATCAATTCTTCTGAATAAATTTTAAAGAAAAAATTTAAGAAAAAAAGAAGAACGAGCCAAGATACAGCCTTATACATCCAATGTATCAGGTATATCAGGCTGAATCGATATTTAGAACCTTGCATTGACATAATACAATCTTGGCTGAGTATTTGTGGCTGAGAGCTGAATTGTTAAGGCTGCAATTATTTTCAGCATAAATTCAGACTGGTGAAAAACTCCATTCTTGTTCCATATTTTCACTCGTGTGTTTATTTTTAGCTTAAGTTTTACATAAAAAATCAATGTAAACCTCATGTAGCCTTGAATTTTACATCGTAAATACTTCATTGATTTTATTGATGCAATATTAACATTGATTATCACACTTCAAAAGGTTCCAATGGTTTACTCATTTTACATCGCTATACTTTTACATCGATGACAGTTTACACCGAAAACAAGTAGAGCTTAATGGCTTCAGGTTGAGACAAAAACCCATACTGAACACGACCTATAATGCCAAGCACTTGCCCTAGCCTCACTTCTACTTAACCTCAATATTAGTATTTCTATTGTTAATGTCAACACCCATTTTGATGCCTATATTAATAGTTGACGAACATAAAATGTTGCAATTTGAAATTAATTCTTGCCCCTTTCTCCCAAATAAAGGAAGAAAAGGTTGGCCCTGTGGGTTGGATGTTGATTTTTATAAAGAAAATAAAAAGAAGAAATATGCATATCAACAGCCATTGAGGGTTGCATGATCTAAATAATGGAATGCGTGCATCTCGTCGCCTACAAGCTTCATCTCGTGATTCCGTCCTCTTATATTACAACTCAACTTACAAAAAGAAACTATGCATCATCACGGATTCACGGCTATCTGGTTGCTAAGAAGTTAATACTAAAAAAGCGCTCTTACTCGGTTACTCCTACTCGGCTTGCTAGCCATTTAGGGTTGGCCTGAGCCCACATTCTTGCAGCCGTCCAAGGAATTTTGTATATCGATCGACGGTCGCAGCAGCACATATCGATGCGAACTCCAGTTAGCCTAATTACTTCCATGATTGACTGCTTGATGCAGCACTCGCTTATTATCCATTGATGATGATCAATGTGTGCTTTAACTATTCGCTCAAATGCCCAATTGATAATGATATTCTAGCTGCAACATAACAGTTTTCATCGAAATCGTGCGCATCGATATAGAAAGAACGCATGAGAACACTTTGAAAGGCATAAAATCGTGATCAATTCTATCATACGAGTACAGCTGAGCTGAACGTCAATAATATAACCTGATCAAGACCCCAAGTCGCTCATTGAGACACTGATTAATGCACGAATCATGGTACCGTATTTAAAGCCTTCCCAATATGAATTCTCTGATAATTAAAGTGGGGTTTCTAGCTAGCATGATGGGATGAGAGGCATTTGGTTCGTGAGGATTGTTACCAGACAAACAGTACTAGCAAGGTAGAGGCTGTATAAGAGGGTGGCGAGTGGCGAATGGCGAGTGGCGAGAGAATTGAGGGACAGAAGGAGTGCTAATATTAAACGGGGTTCTGGCAGAATGTAATACGAAAACAAATTTTGTGGGCGAACGTGGGCAGAGTCCTCGTGGGCCGGGGATCCGGACTCTACGCAATTTGTTTATTCTTCCCGAGCTTGTTTGATATTTGCTTATTTTTAGGACTTGTCTCTAAAATGCTCCTATGTAAGAAGTCAATCAATTAACTAAAGTGTATATTAGGTTTAGTGTTCATGCCCAATACTATATTAATCATTGTTGGTTCTATAATCGATTTCTGATCTTACGCATGATTTTTAAAACCTAACTGACGATCTAACCGGTCAGGGGTCTGGCTATCGGGTTGAACAGTCTGATCGTTCGACCTGAATGATCAGCCCCGTTCTGACAAAAAAATTAAGAAACGGTCAAAACTGTTTGAACGTTTAACCAACTGATTTAACGGTTTATTGACCAAAATCAATGGTTTTAAGAAAAAAAACGATTTTAGGAAAAAACGAAACCAGTCAAGTGACCAGTTCCTGGTTTTTCCAGTCCGACTGTTCGGAGCAGTCCGGTTTTGAAAACCATGGGCATAAGCTATTAGCCAAACAACGCATATATGTAATCTGTTTATTGCTGATCTTTATTTTTATTTTACTTCATTTTTTTCTAGCACTCGAATTTGTATTTTGGGGTTTTATGAAACATCTTTCAATAAATTTTAAGTAAGAATCCAAGAAAATTGTAGGGTTGTAGAATGACATTATTTAGCATGACACGTCCATCTCCAATTTTCCATCAATGTAGACGCATCGATCCCGAAAAAGAAGCAAACACATGCAAATGTTAGAGCGAGGGACACCATCACAGTAAGGCAAACCGAAATTATAGGATAGGCAAGCCCCATCTAACACAATGCGCGCACTAAGAAGAAGCCAAACCAAGGTTGGGGACCAGGACCAGCAATCCCGATCCCATACTAGAAGAGAATCAAAATACCTTTCTTTCGATAAATACTCATTTTTTATATAAAAAAGAGTTGATGTATACAATCTCCTCAGCCAAGGATCAAATTTTCGGTTCGCATTGGAAACCTCCCGGTATGTCTTATAGGGGGTGTTTTAGGGTTTAACTCGGTTCAGGGCCAGAAGAGTTTTAGCGACCCTTTTGAATCAGGTTTACAAAAAAACTGAAAGAAAAAGGCTGTATCAGACTGTATCCATATTTTGATCGTTGTCTTCAGTTTGATTTAATAAAAAAATGAATTTAAATGGAAAAAAGAAAAAGAAAAAGAGAGAGAGAGGAGGAGGACTTCAGTTAAAAGTATTATTTATTATTTTTTTTTTGAAGCTGATCTATAAAATACTTTAGTTGAAAATAGACGAAATCAATTATGTAACAATAATATAATATTGGCCATGACTTTTCTTGGCAGAGTCATTGCTCATGAATGAACAGAGACAAAAGACATCATTGACCCACAATCCAATCTTAAATGAAAGGATTAATAGTATGTTTGGTTTGAACTTTGAAAGGAAAGGTAGACAAAGGAAAAGAAATGTGGGAAAACCTATACTTCTTTTCCCTATTTTTTCCTTTAAACCAAATACAGCCTAAATATATAACGATCATCGTTGTCTCACCCTTAATGGAGAGTCATGGGTTTCATATAACAAATCTATGAGTGTTTGTTTAACTTCCAAAATTTCTAAATGGGACAGAAATATAAACAAATACTGTAGAGTGCAGATAGTAGTCCCCTCCCTTGCTCTTCTTTTTCTCTCTATAGCTCTTGCGATTAGCACATCACCTTCACCTTGGATTTCTTATTTAATTTAACTGAACAATAATCGTTGATCCTTCCTAGATCGCCAAGCTGAAATTTTTGTCAACTATGGATAGAAACAAAACTAACCCAGAAGCGCGTTAAACTGAAAATGGAGGGCCAACTTAACCCGCGGGCCAAACTCATGTCCAAACCCGATTAAGACGGATTGGGCTGACGGCTATTCGGCCCATGAACAGGTTAGAGCGATGTTATGGGCATTCTTGGTGTTTTGTATATTAAGGCTTAGTCTGGAAGAGTCAAAGATTAGACCAATGGATGAGGCTCCCACTGATGTGGGGTTTGGGAAGGCACAGATATACCGCAGCCTTACCCTTATAAATACAAAGAGGCTGTTTTTAAGACTTGAACCCTGATCACCAAAGTTACAATGGAATAATCAAACCTAAAGATGCAAATAAATCTGATCATATTCGAATCATGGTATATTCAAATCCGATTGATTATTACTGTGGATCTGATCTGATTGGATCTAACAAACATTGATTCGAGTCTGATTCCATTAAAGATGTCTAATATTTGAATTTGATCCGATCCGATCCGTTTTGTTTCATTTCATTCTGATTCGATCTGATTTAATTTTTAAAAATTTTAATAAATTATTAAAAGGAAAAAAATATAACAATTTATATAAAAAAATACAAATATTTTTTTTACTATTTTCATCATATATATATACATGACATAGAATGGCACATGACATAGATTGAATGGTCCTCGTGCCAGTGATGTCAAGCGAATTCACTGCCGGAAAAGTTGAAATTGATGCTCTAACACAATGCCAAAAAAGTTAAAATCGAAGAAACTTGTATTGTTGCCGGGAGAAGACGATTCTTGTAGTCGGCGCCGGAAGAGACAATAAAGGTATTATTTTTGCCGCACCGGGATGGAATGAGCGTGATCGAAATAAAGAGGAAGGTTGGAGTTGAGTGGTCTCTTCTCCTCTCTCGTTCGTTCAATTTTCCAATTTTCCATCTCCTAATAAAATACTCTCTCTTGTTCATGCAGTTCAAACAAATACACCCTCGAAAATTGGAGCGCCAAACAGGAAACCCACTCCACCTCCCTCTTCTGTTTTTGTATATAGATTTTTTTTTTTGGTTCTGTTCTTCTATAAATCAATGGTGTTAGGAAAACCCTAGCTCTCCGTCTTTTCAATGTAACCAAAATCTCCTCCCCAAATCTAGTACTAACACACTCCCGTCTCTTCTCCGTCGTTTGAAAACATTATCCCCACAAATCCCGCCACCCCAACCTTCCGACGCGATTTCCTCACCTCAACGGATTCCTGCGAGAATGGCTTTCCTTCATAAGAGGTCAACCAGCAATGTCGTCGGAGCTTCGTGCCAATCGGAGATAAGTTAATGGAGAAGTTGAGAGGAATGGGCGTAAACAAAGACCGTCTTCGATTAGACAGTTTGATTCTTCCAGTGACGTAGACGGAACCTAGGGATGGGATTTTGGTCGAAGACACGCGTAAATTGCTTAGGCTATCGCAGTTGCAAAATGTTAAAGTTGAAATTGAGACAATCCTAAAGAGTTCTATTCCATATTCGGAATTTGTTCAGATCTGTATGAAAGGTTGCTCCAATTGCGATCAAGGTTTGGAGTTAGCGAAGATGTTGGATCAATCTGGGACCATTATTGTTCTAGGTGATTGCGTCTTCCTCCGGCCTGAAGAGGTGAATATTCTTTTCCTTTATTTTTCTTCTTTATTTTCTCTTTTAGGTTAATATCCTTTTACAAGATTGAGTTCAATATATTCATGAACCTCTAGACCAGAAACCTCAGCAACACAATTTTTTTCGTTTCCCGATAGGGTCCGCTGTAGGAAGTGAAGAGACTTCGAGATGAATTGTATAACAAGAAGACAGCGAGGCAGCAGCGCGTGTTGGCATCTTGGATTTTGTTGAAGATGTGACATTAGAGCGAGTATGTAGATGGCCGAAGTGATCGTCTAATTCAATGGTCGGAGAGTTTGGGCTTTGTTTCAAGAAGACATTTTCAAAAGTCTTAAAATGCATGGGAGGTCACGTGACATATATAACTGATGGTCCTTTAACAATAAGTACTAGATTGTGCATTTTAGAAATTCAGGTATTAAATTGTCGCATCTTGAAGTTCCGATACTAAATTGATACTCGTCCTAAAGTACAGGGTATCTATCAAGAATTTTCCCAAACTATTAATATCATTTTTTTTCTTATACCACAAAAAAAAAGCTATTTAATCAATCATCCATTTAAACCGAATAATTACCACCATCCCTTTTGATTTTCAAATCTCTCATTTTTGTTTTTTCAATTATTGAAATCAATGCCTGATCCATCCGGGGAGTCAAGCCAAGTCAGATTGTCCGGGATAATTGAAGAAAAAGCTATTCTTTTGATGAATTGGAATTTGCTCCTCACACAGCCGACCTCACAAAGAGCATCTCCCATACCAAATGGGATTTCCTCGTACCCACGAGCGGGTAAAGAGTGGATAGGAAAAGTGAGTAGCAAGAACGGGGCTGTGAGGTCGGTGAGGAGCAGGAACTCTCCAAGTCCCTTGAGTTTGTTAGTCAAGTGACAAATTGTGGAGACCGTCCACCGGCAAGATAAGATTTGAGCTTTTGGGCCGAATATGGGATGGATAGCTGTTATAATTCAATTGACAGTGTCAATCAAGAGATGGGTGATGTTCTCTGAAGTTAATTGGCATTTTCGTCTTTCACTGGGGTCGCAAGTAGACCTGTTCATGGGCCGAGCCCGGCCCGACCAACGGGCCTATAACTTGGGCCCGAGCCCGGCCCTGGCAAAAAGCCCGAAACTCGAACTCGAGCCTGAAGCCCGACCTAATTGAAAAAAAAAATAATTTTCCCTATTCAAATTAGAATTAAAAATTCAGATAGTATTTTTTTTCTATTTAAATGAACAAAAGGCCTACAAGATGGTATTTTTCCCTTTTTTTTATATTTTAAAACACAATTTTACATTCTTAAATAAAAAAAATTATTCAAATGGACATAATCACATAACTAATTTTAAGTTTAATATTAGGTCGGGCCAGGCTGGGCCGGGCTCGGGCTCGGCTATTTTGACAAAACCCGAGCCCGGCTCGAATTTATTGTGGGCTGGGCTTTTTGGCCCGAATTTAAGCCCGCGGGCCTATAAGCATGTTCAAGCCCATCCGGGGGTCAGGCCGGGCGGGGCTGGCCCGTCGGGCCACCTAGCCCATGAACAGGTCTAGTCGCAAGTAAATGCTGCGACCAAGGTGGCAGCAAATGTGAAATCCTTGTCATTAACGGCATAACCTGCGTACCGAGTTCACCTACTCCCATTTTCCTTTTTCAAAGGCAGTCGAAGGAAGAAACCTGTATGACTACTACTTGGGGTACTTGCTCAACCATGCTTATTATTGGTTTCCATACTTTCTCTACTGTGCTCATATTTCTGAAACCAACACCAAAGAGAGTGATAGATGTGTAGTAGGAACCTGTTTGATGAGGGTCATCAAACAAATTGCAAATTGTAACGTGAGGTGAAATTGCAAACTGCACACAGACCAAGTCAGTAATGAGTGTGGCTTGAACCCTACTACCTGGTGGATTTTTTAAATTAAGCTTTGATTGGTGTAGTAGGGAAAATCTGGGACAATCAGGGATTGGGAGTGTTTTTAGGGATGAAAATTTGATCATTTCTGCCATGTTCTCATGCCCAATTGGGGTGGATGACTCACTTAGAGTAGAGATCTTTACAGTTACGGAAAGAGTTCGGAAAGCTAAGGAGTTGAACATTAGAAAGGTCATAATTGAAGGGGATTTAGAGGTGGTGATAGGGTGGCTAAGTAAATATCACAATGGTTTATGAAAGTACAACAATGAGAAGAAGAAATTCAAGTGGCTGGTGCGGGAGATGGAAGTTAAGACATGTTGGGTTAAATGATCGGCTAATTCCCTAACTGACGGTTTAGCTAAACAAGGGGTATAAAAGGAGTCACTGTTTTGGGCAAAGCTGTAACTTTAGTGTGCTTTTTTTCATTTTTTCCTTTTCTTGAGGTTCTTTGATACTCTTGGAAGATAAATGTGTTTGTCTTCCTCTTGTAAATCTTCTATTAATGATTTAATGAACGTGTTATTGATAAAAAAGAAAGGGTCATCAAACAAATTACAATGCAGATCTCATCTAAGGAAAACCATGTTGGTTTAAAATGATAGCACAAACACCATCTTAGCGAGGATTGGATGGTTTCTTGTTCCTCATTTTGTGATAATCTACGACTACTGCCCTTCGACAATATGGGCAGTCCCCACAAATTTGCACCCAGGGGCCTAAGCATGCCGAGTGGAACCTATGGTCACAAGGTAAGCAAATCAACTGATTTCCTTCTTGGAACCTCTCCAGACATATGCTACATTCATGTGTTCCCCTGTGAATTGCTTCCCTATCGCATTCCTCTCTATTGCTGAAAACTTCGTGATGCAAACGGTTAACCTCCTCCCAGCTGAGTCCTGGTGGCTTCTTCTGGTTCCAGCCTTGCGTGGAGGTGGAGGAATACAGGTCTATCTCAGCAGTATCTTCAATAAATGAAGCACCCCCTGGCAACCACTCTCTTAGAATTTCAGCCACCCAGTCCCCTGTTGCATTTACAAACCTGAGTTCATCGCTGGATGCAAACTCATCCCAAGATATGCTTGTTGATGCCCCTCTGCTTCTTTGCCTGGCATCAGACACCCAGAAATACAAATAAGGATTATTATTACCTGATATTGTAGTAAGACGTTACATACATGTAATCGAAGTACACATTTTTTCTATTGGATCAAAGAGAGTAAACATTGAATAACCATGCGTCTAAATGCATTTGACAAGTGCAACACTTACTGTCAACTATTTCATAGAGAATTTATAAATGCTGGGAAACATGCAAGGGGTCTGGACCAGCCACACCTGATACTTGGTGAACAGAAGCATGGATATCCCACATTTTTACAGAACAAGCAACTCTGATGGTCCAGTTCTTTTTTGCTCTCCCACAAAATCTCTTAATTGATGCTTAATATCTAGAATGACCCATCAGAATGGTATAACTTAATTCAGAGCATTATAGCTAGCACAAAGTGGTACAAGTGGGTGACCAAAAGAAAAATATAAGCAAAATAGTTTCTATAGCTAGTGCAAAATAGGCATCTCAACTCAGCTCAAAGAGATTTATCCCAAACATAAACACATGACACAATTTCATTTAGATTCAGATGACATTGTAACTGGTATAGCCAAATTTCGCAAGCACTTATCCATTAAAAAAAAAATCTAAGCAACGTAACAAATGCACAACTAACCTACTTCCTGAAAGAGATACCCCTCTCAGTCTCTCAAGAAGCCTTTCCCTTGCCTGTAATACATCTCCAGGAAGTCTGTCATTGCTAGAGAACCTCAGCCTATCAGTTCTACTTGAAGTTTCTGTGCCAAAGATGTTGCCTGTACCAGAATGATGACCACCATGGTCTACTCGAACAGGTTCTCGCTCCTGAGAATGCAAAACAGCACTAAAGAATGAGGTCTCAAAGAAAGTAACTGTGCAAATTACAAACAAAGATTTATCACTGTCATGATTCCATGGAAAAATCTATGAATGCCGGAAACACATGATACCAGAAAGGCTTTGACCAATCACAACCCCCATGAATTTTGGTAAAAATCCACCTGATTGGTTCCTACTTTTATGATGCTGGTTGATTGGTTCTATGTTTTTCAAGTATCATGTCTTTCTGGCATCATAGTTGAACTCTGATTCCATTTGTAGATCAGTTTGTTCATCATATACATTGAATAATAATATACAATAAATCCCAATGGTTTTGCAAAGATCATAAAAGTAATGGAGGAAGAATTGGTGTGGTGGAAAAGAACTTGAGAGACAGGGAGGAAAGAGGAAGGTGGAGAAGAAAGAAAATGGAAATGGATTGGTTAACTATACCAGTTGCAAATCCTCACAAGGGATACACTGAATCACTTTGATCCAAGGCCTACATGTGCATTAACTGGTGCTTAGAAATTCCAGTTAAGCATTGCATTACAAAGCCAATGGCTGGTGGATGGTAAAAACTGGCTTGTTGGTAATGTCTCTATCAGGATGTAGCAGAGACTTGGATTGAATCCCACCTTCACCAGGGCCTGGGGGGATTATGGGTTTGGGGGATGAGCTACCACCTGTTTTGTAGCCCTATGACCCCCTCCAGAAAAATAGAAAAAATTATGGCTGGTGGTCCTTTAATGAGACACAGAATAAATGTCCAACAAAACTTTCACTTGTTTTACAGTCATCGGGGGTTACAATTTGACCAACAAGAAGATATCTCATTTGGCCAGTCAAAGAACTCAGTTAAAGGAATTTCTTATTGAAGAGGTTTTCATAAGAATTTGTAATATGAGACTCATGAAATGCCTGACTTGGCTTTCTAACAGAAGAACAGAATTATCAAACAAGAGGAAGGAAATGATTAGAAAAAAAAAAAACTAGATCAGGTTGCAACTTGCAAGATTACCAAAATGAGAAGTAATTAAGTTAGTGAGCTAGCAAAATTGGTTAAACAGTAAAATGAAAATGACAATAAAAAAGGTTGACAAACCAAAGCCATGAAATTAAGAGGGTGTGGCAGAAAAGGTGAGAGTGTTTATCAATATAATTAGTAATTAACAACAAAGCAGCTATTGTTAATTGAAAAATCCACTTTATTAATTGAATATAACAAAAAGACCATGCAAACAAACGGATAGTGGGTGAAGTCTAGTCTCAATCAAACAATGGTCTTGAAGCTCTAAATGACTAGGTAAGAAAGTGTAACGATGCTACAGCAAGTTAGCAACAATTTGGCATCTGAATTTAGTCAGAGTGCTAAAATATGTTGTTGAAAGAGCTATTGCAGATGCAAGCTTGATAAGAAAGCTGCTGCTAGAGTTATTCCAAAATGATGGACGCCTGACAAAGATATGTTGCTTTCCTAACCACAAACACAAACGTGCTACCTTTACTTATCAAAACATATTGGTCCAGGGAAACGGGAAAGGCTATGTAGACTCGATGGCAACACAAATAAAAAAGGATGACCAAGAAGAAAAAGGCTGTCTATATAACCAAAGAACAACTCAAATTGCACGTCTTAAAAATCCCAAGCTTAATACAACGAAACGGTAACGCAAATACCATGCTAGCGCTTGACAGATAATACCCTGCGGCACGCATAATCACAAAGAAGAGACAGATGAGGAAAATTTTAACCAGTTAGGAATTAGGATGACAGGGAACCTTTATGACCTGAAAATTAAAACGTTTCATTGAAAATTTAATTCAATCACATCAATACGAACAATTCAATAAGCCAAGCATCGAACAGTTATGCAGCTACATATCTTTTTTATTTTTCTTTTTTGTTCCATTCTTGGGTAGATGCACTGTTATGAAGAAACCTAACACCTCATTGTTGCACAATCTAGGGTTTCGTTTTCGAATTAAAAAAAAAACGTAAATAATATTTGATGTTTCAGTAAAAACAAAACAAAATAATGAAACATTAAAAAACGGGAAAGAGATGATTGTTTTCCCAGACCGTTTGAAAGCCGCGAAGGAATAGATGCCTGGCATGCGAATGCGGAGATCGCCTTAACGGATCGCAATCGTCGCCACGATGATGACTGTGACGACGGTTCGGGTGGGGGTGGTGGAGATTCCTTTCAAGAGTGTAACCTATCCCTAGGTCGGTGGCGTTCCGGGCGTTGCGAGACCTCCGATTGTAGAAAAGTTCCGAAGCGCTCGTCATGCAAAACACTCTCCTGCCCTTTTATCTGTATGCAATTCGTTGTTTTTTGTAGTGAAAATAAGGAAAAAACATAAAAAAAAAAAAACATGCAGGAAATCAGCACGCTGTTTACAGCACAAAATATATATTAATATTTAGGAAATTGTAAACGAAAGAAAAAAATAAAAAAGAAGCGAAATACTAGACCTACAGAGGCTTAGAAATTAAAAAAAAAATGCGAAGACCTACCTTCCCAGCAATCAATCTACCAACCAAATGAGCGAGAGAGAGCGAGAGAGCGAGAGAGAGAGAATTGAGACTGAAAGAGGTGCCACCGTGACCGTGTCAAGAAAGAAAGGGACGGGGGCAGAGTGTAGAATGAACCGAACTGAAATTCAACGCAGAGAAGAGAAACGAAATCCATAAAAAGATGGGAGCGATACCGACACGTCGGATCCTCGAAGGCTCGAACCCCCAAAATAAAGTGGGACCAATAAAGAATCTGAAGCAACCGTTTCGTGTGGTCGGCTGGACAGTTACGAGCTACCGCAACAAATGGAGATGGGTATTACCTATTACGAATTTACGATCAAATGACCAATTTCATTACAAAACCAGCAGTAGCGCAATATTCGATCAAATGATCAAATCCAAGCTGGGGAAGTCGGGTTTGGGTTTACGTTCATCCGAAACCACTTGCATCGCCGGTGGCTGAAACCCATGAGCGCCCCCAACCCACCAAGGCACCAATAATCCAATATAAAAAGGAAAAGAGGTTTATAAATTGTCAATTTATACATAATATAATACACAACAAAAAGAAAAGACATCTTAATTATCACACGTCAAAACGACAAACCATCTCAAAAATATTAAAATACTCTTCTCTTTGTCAAGTTCTTGTCGCATCCACGCTTTACTCAAGGTACATCCCATACGCGAGCTACATTGTAACTTTGGATTTCGTAGGCTTATCCCCGAATTTGTCCTGCCTTATTTCAGGATATCAGATTGGCGCCCCAGTGTCCCACAGCACCTCCCACCCGGGAGCAATGCATACTGTCATACTGTGATGTGATGTACATGTGGGGTGCTTGTGGGCCGCCCTCTGTGAGCGGGGATCAATCTGAACTCTTATTTCAGTCATTCCTATTTCCTTTTTTTTTTGTCTTCTTAAATAATTAAATCTATAAGGCCGGTTCAGGGTCAAGGTCGGGGTTGGAACGAAATGGACAAATACCATCCCTCTCTCATCTTCGATCCTTGCGTTTTCTCAAAATCCACCACAAACTTTGATCAATGGTTAAAAAACCTACACCGACCTGGGCAAGGTGGGGTAAAATCCCATGAGGATGAGTCAGATTGCCATTTCCTATACATTGTTATGAAAGTGAGCAATTCAATAAATTCCTAAAATCCTTGTGAGCTTATTTACAATTTATGTTAGGTTTAAGAGTCTAACAATGATGAATTCATTAATATTTGTTATACCTAAATTTCAACCAACTTTAAAAACATTAATCAAGACATGTTTTATCACTGATTCTCGTCTTTTGCAGCACGGTGCAATTGATGCACTATAGATTTTGCCTAGGTTTAAATTTTTTTTTCTTTTCAAAATTGACTTCGCTCAAATAAAAATTATATATATTGTGTTTGTGTAGAGATGTTAATTTTCCCCGACCCGATGGGATTGGGGGTGGAGATTGAACAGGGATTGATAGGGATCCCCAATCAGGGTTGGGGTGAGGGATGGGGAATGAGGTCCCGACCTCGCCTCGGCCCTGATTAAACATCATTTATATTAAATAAATATATATATATATATATTAAAATATATTTAAATATTATTTATATTTTAAATAAATTTATTTTTCAGAAAAAACTGTTAACAAAAAAATTTAGAGATTTAGGTCCCAACGGAAAACCCGCCCCCATCGGGGATCGTTATGGAAGATAACTTTTATCCCTGATGGGGATAAAGACGGAGACTAATTTCAAAATCCCCATTGACATTCCTTTGTGTGTGTAAAGAAATGAACTACTAAAATTAAAGTAATCAAACTCCAACAAAAAAATGGCTACCTATTGTAATTAAGAAATTCCATTAAAAGGTTAAAACAAATGTTGGTTTTGATCGAGCAAACAATAAAAAGTTGTGTATGAGAGAGTGAGAGAGAGGAACAAGGAAAAAAAGGTTAAAGAAAATTGGGAAAAGGGAACTAAAGGCTCCTAGTGGTAAGGTCAGTGTACCTCATGTGCATCCAATTCTATCCTCCTCTCCATTCCCCATTCCTCTATTATGTTAATAGTATAAAACAAAAAAAAAAAAAAAGAAAAAATGCATTAGGGTAAAAATTCCCAATTATTTACCAGTATTTTTTCAAAACAACAAATTATTTATATATAGTACATTTCAGAATTATTTGTCTTTTTTATATCTATCAAAATTAATTACTTCAGGCATTTTTCAAAAATACATCAATAAACAAACAAAACATGTGTTAGATCCTAGCGATTGTTAACAGTTAAGGTTTAAGTATTAATGCGATCCAATATGTATCATTATTTATAATACCAGAAGGAATTGGAAACTAACAATCCTGATAAAATTCCAATCATATCCACCATATATCAAACTATCAATAATCAATATATATGGTGCTTATAATATATCATTGACAATTTGATACTCGATTGTTACAAGCTGATCCCCTATTCTTAGAAACACATTACAAACCCATTTTTTTAAGACCATTGAAAAATATTCAGATTACAACCAAGATGCCAATCCATTACAAATTCATATGTAACAATTACAAACCCATGCTTAACTATCATAAACCTATATATTCAATTATTACAAGTCATATGCTCAATTAGTTCCCTGCCGTATATGAGACACTCAATGAGATGGAAGGCAAGTGAGGATGCCCTACAATCAGCAATGATGGTATGAATGTGCCAAAGAGAGGTTTTCAACCTGTTCAACAAGAAAGAACAAACTATTTCTAACTCGCCTTCAATAATAATAGAGAAGAAACCCATATACAAAGAGAAGGAAAGCCCTACATATATGGTCTAAGCCTCAGCTTATGAGCTTTCAACGTTGAACATGCCTGTAGCGGAATGGCCCTAGCATAAATCAAAGGGTAAATTACAAAGATCCCCCCACGTGCAGGTCGAACGGTTCGACCCGTGATGTTATAAATAAATTAAAAATATTTATAGATAATAAAAAATAGTATAAAATTAAATAAAAAACAAAAAGATACAGAAAATAAAATCATCTAAATAAAAAAATAATACAATACAAAATACATAAAAATATAAAAATAAAATACAAAAAATTCTAAAAAATACAGAAAAAACACAAAAATAAAATCAGAAAAATAAAACAAAAAATACAGAAAAAAAAACTCTAGAATGTAAAGTCCAAAAATGAAAAAATCCTTGACCTAAAATAAAGATTCACAGAGATAGATTCCCCTGGCACCAAAATAAAAGGGGAGAAATATGAGAATTCACTCTAGAATGTTAGATTGCAATGCAACCAAGATTGATCTGTAAAAAACTTCAATACACATTAATTTTACCTAATTGATCAAAAAAATTACACTAATTTTTAGCTGGAAGTGCTGAAAACTCGCCTACTATAAAGCCTGAAAGTGATGCAAAATGCAAATTGCTAAAAACGCTAGCTATCGCCGGTCGCCGTTAATCACGGCCGGCCGGTGCGTGTCGCCATCGAATGCCGAAGGTGCTGGTTGCCGCTACAAACTTGCTTGCCGCAAAGCTTGGAAGTGATGCAAATCGCAAAAAATGATGGTCGTCGCTACAAACTTGCTTGTCGCAAAGCTTGGAAGTGATGCAAATCGCAAAAAATGCTAGCCGTCGCTGCAAATTCGCCGTCACCAGTTACCGTTAGTCGCGGTCAATCGGTGTGTGTTGCCGTCGAACGCCGGAGGTGCTGGCCGTCACAGGTGATCGGTTGGGTGTGAGGGATGGCCGCCACTGCAAACTCGCCTACCGCAAAGCCTGGAAGTCCTGCAAATAGCAAAAAATGCTGGCCGCCGCTACAAATTCGTTGTCGCTGATCACTGTTAATCACCGTCGGCCAGTGTGTATCGCCAACAAACACCGAAGGTACTGGCCGCCGCAGGTGGTCGGTTGGGTGTGAGGGCTGAGAGGAGGGAAGAACGAAAATGGGGTTATAACCCTACATTCGATTAATTGATTTGGGATGGGGATATTAAAGGAGTTTTATTTTTTGTTTTTTATTTTATATAAAACATTGAAAATAAAAAAGAGAACCCGCGAACCGCTAGCCGGGTCAACAGTTTAATGGTCCGACCACCCAGGTTTGCAGCTTTTTGACTTTTTCAACGCTTTTTGAAGATTTCCGATTTTTAGTGTAACCGGACTCGGGGGCGTGATTGGTTACCAGTTTTTTCGGTCCGACCGTCCAGTCCAGTCTGGTTTTGAAAACCATGGTTAGAACCCCATTTTCATTCTTCCCTCCTCTTAGCCCTCACACCCAACTGACCACCTACGGTGGCCAATACCTTCGGTGTTCGACGGCGATACACACTGACCGGCGGTGATTAACAACGACCGGCGATGATGAATTTGTAGTGGCGGCCTGCGTTTTTTGCAATTTGCAGCACTTCCAAGCTTTGCGGTAGACGAGTTTACAACAGCGGCCATCCCTCACACCCAACCGACCACCTGCGGCGGCCAGTACCTTAGGCGTTCGATGGCGATACACATCGATCGACAATGATTAACAATGACCGACGACGGTGAATTTGCAGCGGCGGGCAACGTTTTTTGCGATTTGCATCCCTTCCAGGCTTTGCGGCAGGCAAGTTTGCAACGACGGCCAGCACCTCCGGCTTTCAACGACGACACACACCGACCGACCGTGATTAATGATGACTGACGACGGCTAGCGTTTTTTGCAATTTGCATTTTGCAGCACTTCTAGGCTTTACGGCTGACGAGTTTGTAGCACTTCCAACTAAAAATTAGTGTAATTTTTTTGATCAATTAGGTAAAATTAATGTGTATTGAAGTTTTTTACAAATCAATCTTGGTTGCATAGCAATCTAACATTCTAGAGTGAATGCTCATATTTCTCCCCTTTTATTTTGGTACCAGGGGAATCTATCTCTATGAATCTTGATTTTAGATCAATGATTTTTGCATTTTAGGACTTAACATTCTAGAGTTTTTTTCTGTATTTTTTAGAATTTTTTGTATTTTATTTTTATATTTTTTATGTATTTTGTATTGTATTATTTTTTATTTAGATAGTTTTATTTTTTGTAATTTTTTTTGTTTTATATTTACTTTTATATTATTTTTTATTATTTATAAAAATTTTTTATTTTTAATTTATTTATGACACCACGGGTTGAACCGTTTAACCGGAAACTGGTCCCCTAACCAGTTCTGTTTCGAGTTCGTTTTTGAAAACCATGTTCTAGAGTGAATGCTCATATTTCTCCCCTTTTATTTTGGTGCCAGGGAATCTATCTATGTGAATCTTGATTTTAGGTCAAGGATTTTTACATTTTAGGACTTTAACATTCTAGAGTTTTTTTTTCTGTATTTTTTACAATTTTTTGTTTTATTTTTCTGTATTTTTTAGAATTTTTTGTATTTTATTTTTATATTTTTTTTATGTATTTTGTACTGTATTAATTTTTATTTAGATAGTTTTATTTTCTGTATTTTTTTTGTTTTTTTATTTAATTTTATACTATTTTTTATTTATAAATATATTTTTTTTTATTTTTAATTTATTTATAACATCACGGATCAAACCATTTGACCCGAACGATTGAACCGTTTAACCGGAAACTGGTCTCCTGACCGATTCTGTTTCCGTTTCATTTTTAAAAATCATGATTAAAATAGACATTCTAGTAGTAGAAATGCAACAATAAATTAAATGGCAAAATTGAGGGTAAAATCGTAGAGAAGAAAGCACTTGCATCAAGAAAGACCATTCCACCCGGTCGTACGCTTTTCAAACCATGCTTCATTGTTATATTGATACTCACTTGAAATAAACCAACCCTACTAACCCATACACAAACCGTTACAAACTCATATTTAATCATTACGAACCATTCTTAATTGTTGTCGATACATTCCTACCAATTTCCAATTTGATTTTTTTTTTTATAGATCATTTCAATTTTGAATTATCTCCCACTAAAAACATTGTTGTTAAGACAAAAAAACTCAAAACACCCGAATAAAAGTTAAAATTCATCTACAAAGTTCTAAAATAGCAAGTCGTCAAAATGAAATGTGCTTTATATTTCAACTTTTAAATCCATATGTATCAACCTTTTCTTAATTATATCACCGTCATCATCTAAGCCTTCTCCATGTGTTTTGCCACATGAATCTTGTTTTTCCATTCATTTTGTTTAATGCTATATTCTTAATTATAGTATGTTATAATTTTCTTGATTTTAAGTCATAGTTTAATTTTTCTGCTATTTACCAAAGTCTCCTTCATGTATCATGAGATTCACGCTTTACATCTAATCTAACTATATTCTTATAACGACTCGGGTGCTTAGGAATGGCTTCTTTTTTGACATGTGTTGCATGACAACACATATCCCTCCTCCATATCTCCCTCGACTTACCCTTACCCTCATTGGCTCTTTCTCTCTCCTCCATATTTTCACAGACATCCTTTGTCTCTCTCTAGACTTCACCCAAGGAGAAGCTTGCCTCCCCTGACTCTCTCTCTTTCTTCCCTTTCTACTTTCTCTCTTTCACTTTATCTTCTCGAGATTTTCACTTTTTTCCCTTCTGTGTTTAGACTGTCTTTCCCTCTCTCTTCACAGACCCGAGAGGTCTCAGGCTGACCAGCCTCTTCACTGACGATGGGGATATCCCAACACTGACGCTGAGTGATAAATTTGACGATGAGTGGCCCAGCATGAACTACGACCCTTGTGGCACGTGTTCCACTGTGATCTCGAACCCGTTGCTTATGTTAAATGGTTGCCTTGCCGAGGAAGCCATGGGTTTGTTCATCTGCTGAGAGAAGCTTGAAGCTTGCCAAGGTCGCGAGCGATATCTTCATTTACTAAGGCAAGGGATTTCTTCGTCTGTTGAGGTGCCATTGTTCGACAGTAGCTAATCTTGGCCTCTATAGTCAGGTATTTGCCTGTGTCACCTTCTTATTCTTCTTCTTTGCGGGTGTTTTGAGTATCCGCTTCAGGGATGCTGGTCATTTGGAATCTGCTTTATGGTTATGTTTATTCTGTTTTTGACAAATCTGCTTTAGGGTTTTGCTATTCAGCGACAATGGAGTATTGTTCCTCTCCTTTTTCGGTGATGTTTGCAGCGCAAGGTCTATGGAAGCCTTGATTTCAAGGTTGTGCATCACCTTCTCGAGATCTCTTAGAGTGATTATGGTATGCTTTTCAAAGGTTCAGGGTTTCTCTTTATCAGTTCAAGCTCTATGAAAAGATACGGATGAAGATATGGCTTCTTCTCTTTGATTAGCCACAGGTTCGTAGTTTCATTAATAGGGTTTCTCTCTACCGGTTCAAGCTATGTCTGGGTTTCAGGAGCGGTTTTTTCAAGGGGTTTCTTTCTGAGTTCTTCTTGGGTGATTTTCTTGCCTACTCTCTTTCTCTCTTTGTCCGAGAGAAGCGAGTTTCTCTCCTTCGTATCTCCATTTCCATTATCCTATTGCTATAAAGGATTTCTTCTCAATCAATGTCTTCTTTGTCAATAAAGGTGATTTTGAGCTACCCTACAACTAATTTCCAAGGATTTTGTGGATATTTTTTTCTCTATTAGGGTTTAACGATGGAGGGTTCATCATTTTTTTCATTTTCCTTCTTTCTTTTATTATTTTACTCACGATTATTCATTTCCCCTTTTTTACCACTTGTGAGGATTGTTCCCACCGCTACAACAAACCCAAATCCATGCCATCGAAGAGCAACAACAAGCCATAATAAAATCTTGATATGGGGGTTGCCTTGGTAGGGTTCTTCATTTTGGGACAGAGCTTCCTACCTATGTTTGTTTTTGTTTGAGCTAGAGTAAGAATTGGTACGGTTTTGTGCTTTCTTTTTCCCTTTTCCACTTGGGCTTCGGGCTCCCTGCTTTAGCTGTAGTGCAGTGGACATTTTCCCATTAACGACAGTTAAAAATCAAATGTGATGAATGTATTCATGATTGTTGATCTTTGAGTTTCAAGAAGTGTGCGACAGTTATAATTATTCTTTTCGTCAATTTGTTGTTCATGCTGCTCTTGGTGAGTTTAAAGTAACCACATAACTTGGGACCACCTTGACTTATATGATATAAGATGAAATAAATGAATGATTGAACGACTGTTTTATAAAAAATCTTATTATATGGACCTGGTTGACACATCTTGGGTCTGAGGTCTCACTGTAGAAAAATTGGTACATCACTTATAGTTTTTATTCATCATTTTCTAGAATTATTTTCTTACTTTGCTTTTTAGTTTGTCATCATATGTAGAAAGAAAATAAGGATTTGCTTCACTTTATTATGGTTATGGTTTTAATTTTATAGGGATTTGGCTTTGGGTTGCTACAGTTATTATATGAATAGATCAATTATTGTTTTTAAATTATTTTCTTCAGCCATATTGGCAACTTTCTAACACTAATTCATTCTTATTTTGTATTTGAAGTGGAAATCTGAGTGAACCATTATTAAAAATTGGTGTTGATGTGTCTCTATCTGGATATCCAACTTTTCATTCCCTTTCTTTTTTATTTCAGAAGGTTTGAGGTGGATGTATACCACCATCAAAACTTGATCTTTATGTATCTCTATATCAATTTGTAACAACTTCATTATGTATCAATTTGTGGCTACTTGGAAGAAAACGATATCTCACACAAGCCTTTACATCTATTATCTAAACAATGAATATGAGTTTATATGACTTTTGGCATTATATTTTCAAGATTGTTTTTGAGAAGTTATATGTTTTTAAGAAGATAGAGATGAGCAACTATTACTCTGAAAGTTGAAGTGTGAATTGGAGTAGTCATGTCAACTATTGTTTTAGGCTTTAATCCATGGATTGAATAGGCATTAGCATTAGTGCGCATTAATACAAAATAGTCATAGGAAGAATGAAATTGAGGAGAAAATGTTATTCAATTTATAGAAGTGGATTGATGGAGTGACACTACAGCAGTTGGTAGAGATCCCAACTCTGCCAAAACTAATGAGCAAATTGTTCAAGGGGAGGTTTCCTCTCCAAGCTTCGTTCTCTTTTTCTCCACTGTTGTTATATGTAGCATGCACAGATTTCATACTAATTGCTAACTCCTGACATCTGTTCAACAAGGTACTTTGGGAAGAAGTGAATTTATTAGATAATAAGATGCATATGATCATTAACATTTTATTTATCATGATATTTTGTCGAGGTCCTATGTCGGGGCTCCTATCTATTACATCTTTTAAAATCAAAACATTTTTTTCATAGATTTTTGGAAACTCCATTTTGACACCCCTCTTATGATTCACTTGGTTGTGTGATGAGCAGGATATGCCGAATTTGGCAATCAAATACAATAAGGTGGTTTAGGAGGAAGATGAGCTGCCACTAGAGATTGATTGCAAATGTTGGTAGAGAAGACGCCAAGAAGCATCTGGAAGAACATGTCCCTTGATGTCACCAAATGTAGCCCAGACTAGAACCATGTTAATGTTAAAAAGTTCTTTTTCTATTAAAAGACAAGGAGTGACAGTCGAATTAACAGGAAGTAGACCTGTCAAAAAGTTGACCCAACCCAACCCAATCCGAAAAAACAGAGTTAGGGTCCCATATTTAGTTACCTGAATGTGAAAATGACCCAACTCAACCTGTTGACTCGAGTGTCAAGTCTAATTGGAGTTATTTATACCTTGTTAGAAGTTTCCACTCTTTAATTTTTTTCTAGTTAGCCTTTATTTTTTATTGTTTACTCTTTAAATTGTTAAATATTTAAGTTTTTTATTTTATATTTGGAATTTTAAGGTTAATTTTTTTAATTTTGATATTTTTCAAGTAATTTTTCTTTATTTTTTTTAAATTTCAATTATTTTTTGAGATGACCCGAATTGAGTCATGGGTCAACCCTAACCTGAACATTTACATAAAATGATACTTAAAAAACTTGATTCAAAAAGTTGTTTCATAAAACTTAAGAACGAGCAAGTAAATCACATTATTGTTGTTTATGAATTTTATTCACATTTTCCATCGTGTGGATGTAATGGACCGACTATAAGAATAATTACATGCAATATTATACTCTTTTTACTGTGAAAACTTAAATATAATGTCCTTTTGGCTATTTCAAAATTTAAGATTAACCAATTAAGTCGCATTGCTATTGTGTGTTATACAAATAATTGGCCCATAATTTTAACAAAAATAACGAAGTGCTATTGAAAAATTGTAATTTTAATTGCTATTGTATCACTTGCTATTGAAAGTTGAATACTTGAAAGGGGTTTATTGGCATATTGCGATTTTATTACCTACCATTCAACTATTGAAATTTCTCATGTTTCTTTAAATTGTTCTATTACTAAACTCATGTAACGGGACTTGTCCATATCCATGTCCAGCTAGGGGTATCAATAGACTGGTGTTGGGTTGGACCTTGACCAAATAAAAAATCAATTTGCACAAATTTGACACCTCCTAGCTTATACACCCTCTTAATAAAATTTTGTAAGAAAAACTTGTATTGTTCACATAAATTACAAATCGATTTGACATTGATAGTTTGTCCCTTGCTTATATTCATGCCTTTGACCATAGTCCCTCTATACTAGATAAACCCTTGTACTAAGATTGTTAAATACTTGGATGAATTATTCTTAGATAGTCCAATATTTTTTTTTTCAGTTTCACATTTGGATTTGATCATCTATGAAATCATTTTTTATTTTAAATGAAAGAAAATATAAATTGATTTTTTTCTAACAATTGTACATTTTTTATCTTTTTTAAAAAACATAACATAATTTGATTAGTTAAATGTAAATAATTTGTAATTGATAGTCTTCTCACGGGCCCCCTCCGCTAATAATCTATTAAAACATATGTTTCTTGTGTGTATATTAACTTGTTTAGGTTTGCTTTACATAAACTATTAAAACATATGTTTCTTGTGTGTATATAGCTTGTTTAGGTTTCCCTTACATATTCACACCTTAATTTTTTTTTTAAGTATCCATTTGCACCCGAAGATAAATTAGAATCTACATTCAAATAATTTGCACTCCTACACTTTTGCACCATTAAAAATTGCATTACAAACAAATTAGACCTAAAACTCTGCTTTTGTCACTATAACATGGTAAGAAAAGTATTCTTTGTTAAATTTTTACTATATTTGTACCTCTTCTATTGCCAAAATGTTGTTTCTTAACCTTTTGCATAGAGAGAAACCATGCTCAAAACAAGGATCAAAGTATTAGTATTGGATATTGTATTGGATAGCTTAGATGTAGATACAAATACTGGTACACTTTGGAAACAGACAGAAAACTTGGAAACACTTAGATATGATAATGAAACACGTAAAAATTCATAAATACATTAACAAAACTAAATTTAAGGAGAAAAAGCCACAAATAATATATAAATATATAGGAAGTGCATATTTTAATGGTGTATCAACATAGTGCGATACATAGATATCATATAATTTTAGACAATGCATTAAGCATGAGTACAAAACACAAAACATATGCACCTATTATATTTTAATTATTATATCAATTATTTTTACTTTTTAAAATTAACAAAAAAAAAGCAATCAAATATAAATTTATAAAAAACGTTAATATACATATAATATGCAAATTTATAAATTTTAGATACTAAAATAATTATTTTATTATTAATATTTTTGTGTAAATTTCTTGAGACTAAATCATCTTTTTGATATAAATGGCAATCTAATAAATTATTTATTCCATTAATTCATAAAATACTAATAATATTTTTCCTCTAAATTTTTATTTGGAATTATTAAACACAAACATGTATTATTTATTGAATTACATATGGACATTAAAATTGATAAAAATTATTTTATCACTTATTATCATAAACAAGGTAGTTTAGTGGTTTAAGGTTGCATTTAAGACTTAGCAAGGTTTAAAGTATCAGAAACATAAGGTGTATCAGAAAGATAATTTTAAGAGACATATCAGGAGACACTTTGGATATGTATGGATATAGACGAAAAATCAAGATATGCATAAATATGCTAAAAACATAAATAAATCCTAAAAAATATATTAATAACGATAGTTACAAACAGAAGTTGGGATCATGGTTTTCAAAACCGGACTGGACTGAATGGTTGGACCGAAAAAACTAGAAATTGGTCAGATGACCGGTTTCGGTTTTCCCCAAAACCAGAAATTTGCCCAAAACCATTGATTTTGATCAACAAACCGCTGACCCGGGCGATTAACCGTTTGAACCATTTTGACTGTTTTTTAATTTTTATTTTTTTTGTCAGAATGGGTAACCGAACCCCTGACCGGTTCGGTCTCCGAGTCGTTTTTAAAAACCATGGTTGGGATTGAAAAGATAGGAGATGAAAAACAGAACGAAAGCAGCAAAATAGCTTTTGTACAAGATTCAACAAATGATAGGCAATCTACAAATACTTCTCCCAGCAAGGGAAGGGGAGAAGTAAAAGTAAAAGGTATAAGCTCAATAAAGAATGAAAATAGTAACTGCTAGAATAAAGAATGTAACTGCTAATTGCTAGTCTCCCTTTACTGCCGCCAAATACCAAATGTTCAATAAAGAATTTGTAACTCAATTTGCACTCAATGCTAACAAAGCTGCAGGTACAAGTAAAAGGTATAAGCTCAAGAGGAAAGGTAATAATGGAATCGCTTACAAATGCATAACCAAGAAGGTATGCCCATTTAAGTTTAAATTCTTCTTTTTTTTTGTAAAAAAAAAAACAAAGCCCCCTTGCTGCAGGAATCCTTTACATATTAAAAATTTGGAACTTCAATGGTTCAACCAAATACACTATTAGTCAGAAAATATCAGATAAATTATGGGACATCTAGCTCAAGTGAGCTATCTGACAATGCATTGACCGCATCATCCATATACATGCCTGAAATAGGCATATACCGGTGAAGAACCCTAACAAAGCCATTTTAGAATATCTTCTATTTTCCCATGTTCATAATGTGCGTGAGTTTGTACCCCCACAAACAGATATTAAGCATTGGAGATATAATGAAGAAAAAAAATAAACATACAATGACATAACTATAGCCTATGCTCATCATCATCATCATCATCATCACTACCATCATCTAAGCTTTATGCCAATTATATGGGGTCGGCTACATAAATCCTGTTTCCCCATTCCATTCTGTCTAGAATAATATTCATTGTTAAATTATAAGCACTTAAATCACTTCTTACTACTCCAACCCAAACCATGGCCTATTGTAATATCTAATAAGAAATTGCAAATAATAACTAGGCCTAGCTGCAAGTTGTCTGACCAGCCACAATCTGGGTCTCATGGCAGGGCAATGGCTGGCACTATGTAACATATGCTTCTCAACCCTGCCAAAGGCCAGCTGGTTAAGCACCATATGACTTCCAAAAGATGAAACCAAGTGAAATAAGTCCAACAGGAGCTTGGTAGAAGAGGGGGAAGAGGTGGGGGTGGGGTGGTGGCGGGTGGGGATAAAAAGAGGTAATAATATAAGAACGAAGGATATCAATATTTATAAAATAACTTTATTCAGGCAGATGGACATGTTAAGAGATTGTCATATCTTTTTCCATGATCAGTAACACAAACAGATCTCAAGCATTCCTTTCAAGCATCTTATTTACATGGATTACTAGCCCAAAGGACATTGACCACAAGCTCTGGATTTTGGGCTTCTGCAGTTTCATAGTCATATGGAAGCAAATAGAAGAAAAGAAAAATCCAAACTTGAAAACACTGAAAAACATGCAATAGCCAAAGGTCAAGATGCATCAGTCACTACTCACTAGGCAACTTTCTGAAAGAACTTTTTCCTTTAATCTGGTTTCGAACAATTAGATGTCGATTTAGATGGAACAGTTAAAATTTTGATTTCTATCCCCATATCTTCATTTCTCTTCAACTTAATTTTATTTAGCCTTTTATCAAGGGATGTATATCATACTAAAATTTAGGAGAATCCTCAAAGGACATTACAAGGATTAACCATTTATTCTAAAAATTATGAAATTTCTAACACAAATTATAATATATAAATAGCAGGATGTTGTCCTAGACAGACTAAAAGAACCAACAGTTAGGGTGACTCCAACAGCATTATTAGCAGATGGTTGGGATGCATATCCCTGAAAACTAACATATATGATAAATATTACTAATAAATGAAGTTGTATAATCACATTGTTTCTGAAATGAAGCATAGCACAGATGATTACATTTGTAAGATTAAGGATGGCACTGGATTAGGTAACCACCCCTACCTACTGGGACCAATTTAGTATGTGAACTAATTGGATTAGTATGGTGTCATGCTAAAGAATTCAAATCCATGTACCTGGAAAATGGTTCAAGATTTCTGTAAACATTAAATATCATATGTTGTTTTTCTGTTTTTTAAAGTTATCACCTGTGACTCCAGCCATCTTTTTTCAGGTGAAAAAGATAGAATAAGAAAGCTGTGAACTTCTAACTTTGCTTAGTCTGTTACTTCCTGATCCAAATACAGTTAGTTATTAGTTGCATAAATGCTAATATATAGCATAGCATATCCATGCTATTTTTCTCAATTATGAATAAACAGTTCAAATTAATATTTTACACTTTGCAAGTTCCCGCAACCTATTATTCCCTATTCCAAGTTAAGCCCCTTTAACATTATCCAAGTTAAATCAACTTCAGACACATATGTAATCACCACTGTAACATAAATTGCATCATTCATTCATTTCAGAATCCTAAAAAACTTGTCACAACTCACGAATCTCGCTAGCATTAAGAACTTTAGATAGTATATGCACGCCTTCTCTCATTTGCATCAGAAAGTATAAATATAGAACTCCATAACTCAATCTAGAGAAAGCTAAGCTACAGATCCCACAAATAGAAAAGAAAAGAAAACTTTCTAGTAATGCACCTTACCTCAATTAGAATAATTCTGGAACCATTTTTGGATATGGAGTTTAAAGACAACAAAGAAGATTGAAATATAAATAAATAAATACTGATGAGTGTTTATATCAGCTTACCAATCAAGCTTAGGACGAGCGATACCCAGAAAGTCAACTGAATAGACCGATTATATTGGATCTGATATTGAGACCTTTGAAACTGTCTGTGACCAGCTCCAATCCAACCATGGAGTTGCTTATCATACGAGGCATCATAGCCATAAAGACAGCTCTTGTTTCTTTCGTAGCATGCATTAATTCCCTTTGGTAAAAGAAAACGAGGAAAAAAATGACAAATAACAGAAGACAATTAAACATGAAATAATCAATAACTGTATATTTAATTGCCAAAAGTATAAAGGATTTGTGAAATTTTCTCACCTGACTCAATTGATGACGATCTCCACCTTTCCACTTCCTAAAAACATTTTTTGACCATCTCAGTTTGGCCACCAGCCCTAAGATTACCAGGAACCCGGAGAAAAGTACATTAGAAGGGGACAATAACGACAGTCCAATGTCGGCAGACTCGGCACTAGCACTTGCTGTTCTACGATGTCCGTGCAACCTCTCGACCTTAGCCTCTTTGGGACTCCATTCTGCAGAACGAGGCGAATTTTTTGAACAATCTGACACTGATTTTCCATGCACACCCTGCTGCATACCTTCTTCTTCGTCCCTTTCAGGAACCGTAGCAGGAACTTTGTCCCCTCTTGCCAACGAAGATGATAGAAACAATGCAAGCTCATCCCGTTCTCCATCATCCAAACTTACCCAAGGTAGTGACAATTTTCCTTCTGCAAGGACCAATTCTTTCAATGAATTCTCAACAACCTCAATCTTACTCTCGATTGCAACAATGAATTGTCGGTGCCTGGTTCTTGCATTCTCGGCGGAGCGACCAACGTAGCTCGACTCGACTGCTCGTTCAAACTCCTCGAGCTGGCAGCATTAACGGAACAAGAATTAAATTGACCTTTTGAAAACCGTAATTTGACAAATTAGATCATGAAGTAGGAAAGCCACCTGCCATTTTGCGGTGCCAAGGGCTGCATGTAAATCCCTCCGAAGCTCGTCAAAATCGCACATGAGAGAAGCTTCATTCCTTTCGTGGATCCAGATTCTATACGTGGATTCCATCCTTTAAATACATGAGAAATTAAACTAAAATAATAGAATATAAGATATTCAAACGTCAAAATTAGGAGAAAACAAATATAAGCGGGAAAAGGGGCAACCTATGAGGAACAAGAAGATTCAACAAAATCCTACGTAATCAAGGAGAAAACCCTAATTCTTACCTGTCCGCAGATTCCTGAACTTCCTCTGCGGCGGAGAAGAATGGGTCCTTCTCCCACTGGTCGAAACTCGAAGCCATGTTCTATTAGTACTTCCTCAAAAACTAAGAAAGAGAAGCTTTTTTCTCACACTTGAATTCCCACTCTGCAGAAAATTTGTATAAAATGGATCGATGGTATCGTCAATAACTACTGTAAGATAGATGGATAGAAACATAAATGGACAGAAATCGAAGAGAGAGAGAGAGAGATAAGTGAGAGAGAAGGGGAGGAGGGGAAGAGTGGAAGACGCCTTCTCGCCTTCTCCTCTGCCCCTCTTCTCAGAGACTCGAGCGCTGGTTCTGTAGACAGGTATATGTATGTCTGAAGCATCTAATGAACGAGCGGCTTCGATTGTACTTTCATGGACAAAGTAACATGGAGACCTTCCGATCGGGATCACAAGCACCAACGGCCGGTTCTTCTTTTCGACGCATTAGGCAGAGCACGGGCACCGCTCCAGTCCCGCGAAGGAATAGCTCCGTTGTTGATGTGTTGCCTTCGTAAGTCCACATGCCGCGTCGTTCGTCATCTCTGTCATCAACCCCTCAATTTTATTTTCTAGATTTTTTATTGATTTCGGATCTGCTCCTCACACTAAACTCACAGAATGTTATAGCCGCACATCGGGAACATTTTTCGTATTTGTATGTTATTGTTTATGGAAATATTTCTATTATACGGTGGATGTGGCTGTGAGATAGGTGTTAGGAGAAGATCTCAATTCCCTTTCATTTAAATTAGCGGGGTAGCTAATAATAATACAAGAACATATTAAATAGGCAATTTTATTTATTTAGGCAGATTTGAAATTAGATATTTGGTTAAATGAAGTAAATTAATTTAATGTAGTTTAATTAATTAATTAAACTTAATTTATTAAATATGATAAATTAATTAATTGTTAATTTAATTAATCTAAATAAATACTTAAATTACATTAATTATTCAAAATTTAAAACAAATAATTTTATAATTACAATTAATAACTTTAAAATAATTAATAAAATCTAAAACATACATTTAAGAGAAATTAAGTAAGATAAGCACTAAGACATTTAAACAAGTGTATAGGGCAAGGGGAGAGAGGGATGTGAGAGAGTGATTGAATTTTTGGGGAGAGATAACACCTCAGACATTTTTGTACAATTACAATACAACTTAACTTACTGCTAATGTAAAAGAGGCGATCATGACCCTAGACCTATAATGTGAGTCATGTTGTGGCACAACACAAATTGAAGGCGGTTCGGATACCATCCATGTCGTGCCAGGCCGGGTCTTAAAACCATAGCAAATCGTGCTTGGGCAGCCCGGTCCCCTTTCTAGGTCTGGTGGCCTGGTTTCCAATTGTGTTGGGCCTAAGGCCCAAAAGAACAGGGCCATGGTGGGTTGGGCCTATTGTTTTCTTTTCCAAGTTTTTTAAACTAAAAAATTAGAAAAAATAAAAAATAACATATAATAGCAGAAAGTTAACATTAATAATAAGTTGAAAAAATTAAATACATTCAAAAAATAATACAATGAAATTGAATGAATAAAATGATAAAATTGAAGATAAAAATTACAATAGAATTGGATTAGTGGAAAACATTACAAATAACCCTAAATTAAAATTGAAAATATTTCAAACATTTGTCAAATCCGGTTCGGGCTGTTTGACCAGGCTATGCTTTGGGGCCCGTCCCCCTATGCAGCCTAGGCCCGACATAGCACGGTACTGTAGCGATCATTACAGTTCTAGGTGACACGTGACCATCCGCCATGTGTGCTTTGATTGTTCGGAGCTTTTTGGGGGGTATCATGTCTTTCATCTTTTCGGTATCATATATTTTTACTAAAAGAATTTTAAAACACTATTTATGACACTACACACCCCTTGGCAACAATTCTTTTATTATCAATATTTTCAAGGAATTGTACAATAAAACAAAAATTTTAGATCATTCTTGGGTGTTTCAAGATATAGTGGTGAGAAACCTGGGTTTCCTTGCAACAACGTGAATGTGTTTTCGAAATTGCCATATATTCTTGAGTTGTGTTTTTGTTTTGAGTAGCAAAAACAAATTAGTTTTGTTCAAAAGAAGCATTCAAATTATTTTAAACCTTCAAATGGTTTTTGAAAAAAAAAAACATAAGCATTGAAATACATATATTGTAATTGTATGATGTGTGAATGATGATAAGATATATTATATGATTTAAAATAAAAAAGACATGTTTTACAACTAAGGAATTCAAGAAAATGTTTTTTTTTTCTGAAATTTATTAACATATTGTAGGAAGTATTCTTTATGGTCCAGATATCAGATTTTACTTGATACGTCACTTTACATGTCCTAGACTAAAAAGAAAAAAAAATCATACATTAATGATATGCTTGAGATTAAATGAATTCTTGGGACAATTAAAATGAGACAAATTAGATGAAACTTTGATACACCATTTGGGGTGTTCAATAATATGGTTGGTTTTTTTTTTGAAAAGTAAAAACAATTGTCACATCCAACAAAATTATACGTTTTTTTTATGTAGTGGTTGTTTTTGTTAAAAAAAAAAGCCAACCATGATGTAAACACTTGGCTGAGATTAATTCATTGATCTTAGAAGACCATTTTGATGGACTAGATAATTAGGATGATCGGGTCTATCAATGAATTAGATGACATCTTAAAGTACTATTTTGATAAAATATCCACATGATTAAAGTTAATTGATTGATATTAAGATGCTATTTTGATAGATTAGATTTTAGATGTTTTTCGATATTTTATTTTAGGGATAATTCCCGATAAGTACCCTGTACTTTTAATTCAGTGTTAATTTAGTATCCCAATTTTCAATATATGATACTAGTACCCGGTATTAACTCAGTCAAAATACAAAAAGACATAATTACTCACTTGCGGTTTTGAACAATGCATGAATTAATTTTCGAAATGATAAAAATGACCCCAATTATAATCCTTTCTTTGCAAGTGGGAGCCATTGTTTACCCACTCTGTTACCTGAAAATTCTGAAAAAACCAATTCCGCTGGTGATGTCAGTCGAATGCGACGCCGGAAAGGTTGAAATCGACGCTGAATGCAATGCCAGAAATTTCCCTATTTATATTCTCTGACCTGAAGAAAATCTTGGCTTATTATATGTAGAATGTCCTGTGTGGTTATGGTTTCTGGTTTTCGGGTTGCGTGAGGAAGAGCAGAGCTTCGGAGGTACGTTCTTTTGCATTCTTCCATTCCTAATTGTAGTTTAGTAGATTCTGCCGGTACTCCTTTGGAGGAGTAAAACTTGTTTAATTGGATTATTCTAACTATCTGTTAGGTCAGATTCAGAGCTTCAAATTGTTCTATAAAATTGTACGCCTTTGGAGCAGAGCTTGAGAGATACGTTACTTTGCATTCTTCCGTTCCTTGATGGATAATTCAGATGATCATCAATATGAATATTTTCTGTATAAACAACAAAACCTTTTATAACAAACAACGAAAAAATCTGGGCTAGTACCGAGAGTTACTGGAGCTGAATCAGCCCGATCTCTATCCTCCCAGATGCAGATGCAGATGCAGAAAATTCATTGGTCACACGACAAAACTAAGAAGCGGCAGAAGAACAGGCATTACCAAGATTGGGATTTTTGCCTGAGAGTGAAATCGATTGCTACAAAGAGAAACCCTGCCGAATTCGATTTATTCGACAAGTAAACAAGCGATGAGGAGAGCAGACGCGAATTAATCAGATCTGAAAGGAGATTTGCTTTGAATAGAGAGGACAGTTGGGGTAGCTTCTTGTGCTGCTTCTAATTCCTCAAACAGATGAGGGAATCGATTTCAATAATGAAAACAGGGATGTGTTGCCATGCGAGATGAACATGGGTTATGATGAGAGCGGATTTAGCCCTTTAATGACATTGTGACACATGGCATTTCGGAACAACTAGGTGATACCTGGAATCACTTAGGCAACAATTTGTCTTAGCCAAGTTGATGGTTTCCCACCTGGCGGCCTGGCACGGGCGCGACTTGGCGGCCTGGCCAAGGCGCGACCTGGCGGCCTGACACGGGCGCTGACCTGGCGGCCTGGCACAGGCGCCGACCTGGCGGCTAGGCCCAGGCGCGAACTGGTGGCCTGGCACAAAAGCCGACCCGGCGGCTTGGCACAGGCGCACTAGTGACTTGACATAGGCGCCGACCTAACGACCTGCAAGACGTGCTCGTCGAAAAATTCTACATGCATATCCTAACACTCTCACGATCCTTGGAAGTTGGTCCACGTGCCAAACGATCTGAAGGGTGGTCAATGTGCGTGACGGTTGTCTCAGAGAATCTTGGACCACTTAGACGACTTTTCAAAAATTTCGGATGCGGTGCATGAAGACCACGCCAAACAATGCCTATATAAAGGCACCAACCCCAATGGCATAGGGGGGGGCAAATAAGTATATTCTAGTTCTCATACTTTGTGATTTTTAGCTCGCAGTTACTATGAGAGTATTGACTTAAGCATCGAAGCGACCTTGCCGGGTTAGCCACCCGGGTCCTCTAACATTGATTCCTTGTAGGTTTCTAAAGAACTACGAAACTCAACAATCAATCTAGATCGACAACTAATAGGCAACTCGGCCCTCTGGTCAGCTCGATACCTAATAGGCAACTCGGCACTCTGATAAACTCATCACCTAACCTGGCTAGCTTGGCCTAGTTAGCTCGTCACCTAACTTGCCTAGCACGACCCAGTCAGTTCGACACCTAACTTGCGTGGCACGACCCAATCAGTTCAGCACAAAGACGAGCTCTTCGTGGCTTCGCGGGAATTGGTGGCCATCAGGTTCGGTCGCGGTGGTAACGGCTGTGATCGACGACAATTGTGTGAAACCGAGAAAAGAGAGAAACCGACACTGAGACTGAGACTGGCCGCGCTCCAATATGCCACTGCTGTGACGAATTGCAGGTTGCAGCGGTGATGAAATGCCGCCGTCGCGTCTACTCGTTCGCAGGGAATAAATGGTGAATCAGGGGGGTTTTCCAAGATGAAGAAGAAAGAAGGAGAAGTGGAAATAAGAAAGAGAGGGAGCGTGGGCAGGCGGAGAAACCGCCGCTGCCCGAAGTTGTAGAGGCTGTTACTGTTAAAAGCGAAACAGAGGGAGCTAGAGGAGGAAGAAGAAGAAAGAAAGAAAGAGATAGGGAGAGGAAGACCGGAGATGGGGGTTGTTTTGGATTCGCTGCCCCTGGTTTGTTGTCGAGAGTTTAGATTCGCCGATGCTGCAACTCGCAACGGTGATGACGAGAGGGGAAAGGGAGAGTGAATAGTGTCCACAAGGGCACCATTCATGGTCGGCATTGAAGTATCCTCTCCTCTATCGCTCTTTCAATCCAGATTAGAGAGAGGAAATTAGGGAAATTGGAAGGGAAAAAGGGTAAAATGGTTCGAGATTTCATAAAGATTAATTTTGGTATTAAAAAAATGTTTAAACCGCACCTGATATCACGTGTCTGAC